TACACAGTAAACTCAGAACATTCTGGACTTAAAGCAACATGTGCTAACAGCTTTTCTTCTCTAATGGTATTTGCTGTAGTGTTCTTCATTTTTGATTTGTCCCACATCACTGTTGATCATTTTGGATTTTATTAAAACTTTTATTTTACATGACTTATTATATATGATGATCTTCTTTACTACATTTTTTCTACTTTAAAAACTGAATTAACATCTCACGTCTATCTCATAGTATTCCACACAGAAAGATATGCCCACTGGCAATATAAGTGGTTAATGTAAAAGTATTTATTTTTCCTTAGATGCAATGATAATAACACATAAATTTCATAATATCAAATTTTAATATTTTAGTCCTTATTTTAAAAAGTATGTAAATATTGTTAGTCAGAGAGCTGCAACTGTTGAGATGCCTTGATATCACAGTTCTTAGAATTAATAATGTTACATGCCATACCCAAAAATACAATAACTGCTCAAAATAAACTGATAGTATCATTAGTCAATATATTACATTGTGGCTAGGAAGTCCCTGTATACTGATTTCTTAAGTTATATGCTACATAAATTTTCCAATCTACTTCACTGTCTCATCTCTAACTTTTAAATATAGAATAGAAAATACTCATGATTTCTTAAATTATCTTCCAAAATGGTGTTATCATTGGACCACAACTAAGTAATTAAATTTGATATGTAGCTACATTAATTAATTAACCTTAACATTTCCCAGAACAGTTAAGCTAATAATAGATCTTAAAGACCAAATTGTATTTTGTTATAATTATTAACACAAAACTAGCATTATTAAAGAATCACTATCAGCAGTATTTCAAAGAAGTGGGTATCATCTACCACCCACAAATCAAATTAGTACATTCTTAATTTATTTTTTCATTAGCTGTTAACAATAGATAGAATTCCCCATGGTAAGTTAAAATAACTTGGCATGAGTTTAAGATTTGTCATTGAGTGAGTTTACACAAGAACATGTGATTTTAATTACAACTATTTAACTGTTGTTCACATTATAATTTCAACATTTTCCTGATGTGTTTTATTGGATATTATAAGTACCACTTATTGTTTATCAGTAGTTTTTCATAGCTATACATTTGATATTTGAAAAGGTCAAACTGAAGTCACTAAAGTCATTTATGTGAGAATATGAATAATAATTGCAGACATTCTCACACTTCAAGTTTAAATGACTTCTTCAATACTGAAAACAGGACAAAAGGTTAGGTATTCTTAATACCTTTACCTATAGATAAAATGTCAGTACCTAAGGCTGGGGAGATGCTCAGTTACTAAATAGCTTGCCAAACAAGCATGAGAAGCTGAGTTTGGAACCTTAGCAAGCATGTAAAAAGCTAGGCATGGCAGCAAGCATTTGTTATCCCAGCACTGGGGGGTGTGGGGAGGAGAACCCATGGAACTCACTGTTCAGCCAGGTTAGCCAGGCTGTAGGCTCCAGGTTCAGTGAGAGTCTGTTTCAATAAACAGGGTTGAGAAAGACTAAGGAAGACCAACATCAACAACTGGCCCCTGTAGGCACGTGCATATATGTTAACGTGTGTGTATACATACACTTGCATAAACACGCATACATAAACACACAAAAAATGGTATATATTTGATAAAAGCCACCAAGTGTTGGTATGACAGCATAATCTCTCAGGCTGAGTTATTCTTTCAGATTTGTTATACATTTAAAAGGTTATAGTTCCAGGTAATTAAAACATTATTCTTGTTATTATTGTGCAAAGTCATTGTGCTTAACAACTTTTTTTTGAAAGAAAAAAAAACATGCTAAAAAGAAACAAGCAAAACCAATTAGGATCTCTTTAGTTCTTAAAATAAATAATCAATAAAAGTATACCGCCTTTGACTCCACCACTGATCAGATTGGACCCTATTTCAACCATGGTTAATGGACACTTGAAATTAGATAAACTTTAAATCGAAGCTTTGCCACAAACCTCTTTATGGTGACTTGGAAATAATAATAAATTCAGGCTATCTGCACAGTACTAAACAAACAAAAGCAGTTTTCAAAATATTTAATAAAACTCTGTTGCATTAACACCATCTATGTTTTGAAGATGTAAAAGAAATTTCTCTCTCAAAATTAGATATGTAATTGGGTAAGACAGAAATTTACCCTTGTAGATAAACTAGGTTGAGTGCACATATCTAACTTCATTACATGATGAGATGGATCTGACATATAAATTTAGCATTGGAGACAAGCATCTAAAGAAAAGAGAACCATTAAAATAAGAAGACAAGAAAAGAGTATTTCTAAACTACTAAGACACAACTATATATATTTCATAATATATTTTTCTAGAAATATTAAGTTATTGGTGCTTATCTCAAGTTCATTCTCAGTTATAAAAGAAATGTACAGCCCCAGCAGGCCTGCTTGTCAGCCTCACAACTCTATAGAATCAAGCTAAAACTTCTTTAAGACTAAAATTCTATGAAGAACAAATAATGCAGAGCTGTAATATAATCCCATTTGTGAATAAAATGCCTTCCCATTTCATTTCATCCTAGTGAATAAACTGCAGTAAAAATTTTATACAACTAGGAACTGGTGGTTGATCTCAAAAATCCTATGAAACTGTGTGTGTGTGTGTGTGTGTGTGTGTGTGTGTGTGTGTATAAAGATGTCACCAGGAGCTGTGTTCAATGTTCAGCACTTGTGTAAAAACCCCACCATGGTAATGAGGGCTTACAATCAAAGTGCTAAGGAAGCAGAGACAGCTGGACCCTTGGTACTTGTTTGAAGACACCAGTGCAGCCTAAGACTACTTTAATCTATGAGCCCCGGGCCAGTGAGACTGTCTCAAAAAACAAGGTAGAAGGTTTTTTTCAGAGTGACACCCAGGGTTGACCTCTGCTTCTTCATATAAGTTTACACATATGTGTGCACATACATATATAAACAAAGACAAAAATGGCACTAAATCTTAGGAAAATTCACCAATTCCATCAATTTTTATAAATTTTCAAAAAAAATATAAACTGTAAAGATGGAGTTTGGCAATATTCCTCCCTCAGCAAGAGTAAAATCAGTTTAATTGCACTGAATGAATGTTTTTAATGAAACTTGGCAGAATTTTTTTTTACCAAATCACTGTCAATCTGAGCTTTATAAACCTCCCTCTATTTCTGCTACCTAAAACAGGGTCATTTATTGATGTCAGGATAAAAATCTTAGAAAACAGAGAAGACACGGAAAGCTTAAGTCTCAAATTAGTATGAGCCATTGTTCTTGAGAGAAAGCAAGGTACACTTTTCATGAGAAAACACCCTAACCAAACAAATAAGCAAAATGCTCTCCAGTTTAGTTATATTTGAGGGCCACCTTAAAATATATCTTTGGACTTAATTAAATTTTTTTAATGCATTACAAGTGCTGTCTTACAGGAAGACCCAATAACTGAAATTATTAGAAAATATAATGGAAAAAGCAGGAAAAGGAATCAAATAGTTGTGGGCTAATCTGGACAAGATTACATTCAATGCAAGACCATGGAAGAGGGTTTTTCTTGAGTTTTCAGGTTATCAATTTGAAACTGTATTCTTTTTCAGTAAAAATATATTTTCCAAAAAATTAATCTCAATAGGTAGACTATTAACAACAAAAAATGAATAGTAATCAAACACTATATACCTTCTCATACTACAGGAGGATGCTCTGTGTTTAATTTCAATAGTGATCATATCCAGTGACCATCCATTACTATTACAGCAATCAAAGAAACCTAAGGACCAAGAAAGGCCTTCCAGGAAAAGCCATTCCCTCTGCTCATCCTCTGCTTTCTCAGTTTATTTTCCCTAGACTTTCTGAGGGAAAATTTCATATTTGGAGAACATATACTTATCTTTTGAACATTTCCCATGCTACAGGCACAAGAGCTAACCTATTTTAGAACTCATCGTATTACAGATACTTTTCTTTCCTGAAATTCCTAAATTAGCAATCAGTATAGTCATTCATTATAATGCCCTTTATTACACTGCAGCTACTACAAAGTTCCCTCTTCCATCCTTCACTTCATCCCCTCTCCATCCTCCCTTCCTTTTTGTTCCTGTTCTTTGAGTAGCTTATTCTGGTGAGCTGAGTACAGAGCTATCTCTTAGGCAAGGGAGGAGACCTTTCTCTCTCAAAAGCAGCTCCTGATATTCACTTCATTATTGGCTACTCGATGTTAGGACATAGCACATGACAGGATAAGGTGTCAGGAAATAAGGTGTCAGTAAGGTGTAAGGCGCATGACATGATAAGGTCTCATTGCTACATGAGTAAGGTAAAGAAGTTTGCATAATCATGTAAAGCAAAACCAGACTGGAGCTAAGTAAAAGCTGCATGGCCTTCCTTATATTGGCATCAACTAAAGAAGCAGGACTGATCACAAGTCATAATTCAACATTAGCCTCTAAGTAGAAATATATTATATATAGTCTCAAATACACAATGTCAACTAAAAGTTACAGAAATACTTTCAGTCAGCCCTGGTAGCCACGAAATTCTCTTCAGAATTGTTTCCTTTTTAGACTTTCCCAGCTTGTACACAGCACTGAAGTTAGGGACTTTTGTAATATAGTAAATGTTCTTTTTCAGTATATATGTGCTACTCATGTGTGTGCATGCACACATGTGCGCATGCACACACAAACTGATTCAAAGTAGATTATAAAATTTTCAACTATTCTTAAATCATCTGTTAAACTTTGTGAGAAAATTCATTCTGTCATGTTCTATGATGTTCTTAAAGTATGTAAAAAGGCAAAAGTTAAAAAAAGTGAAAGTAAGATCTCTCTGCATCATGAATATTGAAAAGAAATACCTATGTGAGGTTTGATATATTGAAAATAGTCATATACAATAACTGTGGTTCCTTGCCAGCCATTTAGTAAAGAAAATAGATCCACACACTCAGATCAATACCGATCCTCAACCACACACACATACGTAAATAACTTACACAATCTCGTCGTTCTGGAATTCGAGCTCTCCACACGTGTCTTCAAAGTCCTCCCCTCCACCTCTGGCAGTTCCTTCAATGGTTTTATAGGGAACGATAACATTTCCTCGAGCTCCCGATGTTCGCAAGACCTTCACTTCCATGATGCCAATGCTCTCACTCACATGAGTCACCGGTTCCTCAAAAGTAAAGATGCCTGCATGGTCATCATCAAAAATGGTTACCGTAGCAGTGCAGGGTGACCCGAGGCAAGCAAGAGTGGAAATATGATTGGCTTCCAGGATGCCATCTTCGGAAGCTTCCGAAGATACTTTAACATTGCTGAGATGCACAAGGAAGTTTTCATCCTCTTCGAAGATATCATCATCAATGATGCCAACTCTGATTTCCTTCTGAGTCTCCCCTGGTTTGAAGACCACAGTTCCTTCAGTGAATTCATAATCAGACCCAGCATTGGCTGTACCATCTTCTGTTCTGAAATCAACAAACACAGTGCTGGTCAAATCGCCCCCTCTGCGGATAATGGTGAGGGCCACTGTACCACAGTTCTCCAGACACTGATATGTCCCTTGTTCAAAGAAGACCTTACTGACAGGGTCATTTTCGGCCACTTCTGTGTTAACTTCATGCATGCTGACAGCCTTCCTTGCTTGGTCAGCTGCATGCCTCTTCAAAATGTTGCCAGCCCCAGTCATCAGGCGAGTAGCTTGAATACGGTAAAATGCTCGGCTTTTTTGCTGCTGACTTAGGACTTGGTAGTTGGCTAATTCTATTAATTGCTCAATTTCTTTTTCTGGATGCTTCTGCTTAAGTTCCTTCAAAATCCTTGCCATCTCACGCCTAGCCTCTTCATCATCTTGGTCCCTCTCATCAACTTCCAAAACCAGGGCACCATCTAGGAAATTTTCAACATGAGAGTTGATCACTTTCCCATCCATTTCGATTTCAGTTTTGGAAGATGGCCTATCTCCTTCATGTTCGATAATCATTCCTCTCTGCTTGCCAGCCCGATACCGTTTGTAGACATACTTGTAAAACAAGAGCCGCCTGTCTGCTACCCAAGCGAAAACAACACAGATAGGAAAGAAGAAGAAAGTAAGCAATCCTTCCCAAACCTCCACGACACCAGGAGAGATGACAGAGAGAATAATGTAAAGCCAGGTATAGGCAAAGATGCTCCAGGCTGCTGTCACAAAGAACACACGCAAATGCTTGATCTTCCTGGTTTCTCCATCAGGGACCACGTAAACACAGAGTGCGATGATGATGAACATGTTGAAGGCAGCACTTCCAACGATGGTGCTGGGACCAAGGTCTCCCGCAGTGAAGTTATGGCCACACACTTCAATGACTGACAGCAGAATCTCCGGGGCAGAGGATCCCAGGGCCATCAAGGTCAGATTTGACACGGTCTCATTCCAGATTCGTACAGTTGTCTTGGTGGTCTCTCCATTGGGTTTCTTTATGGTTATTTCCTTTTCTTGAGATGTAATGACTTCTATAGAAGACATGAACCGGTCAGCAATGATGGAGACTCCAAGAAACATGTAGACCATGGCCACAAAATACACAGTTGCTCTAGCAATTTTATCCCCAAAAGAAGGGTCTTGGGGTTCCCAAATGGGCAAAATCACCCCTTTCTTACAGTAATATGAGCCAGTACATTCAGTGGTTTCATTTCCTCCTGTTTCTGTTTCTGTCTCAGCAGTTATATGGTCAATGTGGGAAAACAAGAGAGCTGTCATAGCTAACAGATGAAATCCCATTGAAAAAGTGGGTGAGAGACTTAACTGCAGCATGTTGAACAATGAGACGTCTGACTGTTCCAACCTACAGATAAAAACACGGTGGGGGGAGGAAAGAAATCATATTATTAGAGCCAAATCCAAAGCATCACTAATGACTTATTTGTATAACTTTTACCAAAACTTTGTGACTGTCTGACCATCATAAAATCTGTGACTATTATTTTAAGAATCCATCGGTGATTAAACAATCTTTTGTACAATTTACAATTCAATCTCTCTGTTTGTGGATTTTCTACATGCAGTCCCACTTACTGAGCAAGACACACAATCGACTTCCTGGAAATGAGAAGTTCCATCACAGCCTGGCTTTATTGAGCACACCCTGGGGCATGCTAACAGCCAGCAACAAAGAAAAACAAAACTTTTGAAGCATTAAATCACTTCTTCCTTATTGCTTAAGTAGATTTTCTTTACATTTTGGCTATTATGTTATCTTTGAGAAACTGTTTCACTGACAAAATCACTGTCTTAAGATTCATGCCTTGAAACTCAGAGTCTGAAAAACATCCTAACAATACAAGGCATGTTGATTATCTTGCATCCTGGAGTACACCTTTATTGTATTTATTCTATTTCGTAAAATCACATCCCACTGCTCCAAGCTTATTTGAAAAAAAAGAAATCTTCAAGCATGTCTGCAATCAAGGCTCAATAGTATTTGTTATTGTGAAGAAAAATATTTCACTGCAAATGAAATATTTCCACACTTTAAGTACAGATTTTCAAAACATGTTTTGGGAAGGGCAGATTTCTGAATTTTCCGCAGTTCTGGGTCTCCTGATACACTGTCAGTGGAACATGCAGCTCTTCAAGCACGGCGCTTCGCATCTGGATGCACATCCTGCTTTGGAATCGACAGGCTGCTTGCAACAGGAATCAGAGATAACTGGGCCTGGCCTGAGCTCTAAGAGTCTGGCAGGCTTTGAAGTCAGCCACTAAATGTTTCTTCTCAGTGGCAACACCATACTTCCCACCGCAATTCCAGAATATATATTCGCTCTATAGTGGGCTCAAGTGATCAAAGATGCAGCGTGATTCCATGTAAATTAGCTCCTGTGAGTAACAATGCTGCCCACGAAGTACACATACAATAAAGGGCTGTTGGCAATTAGGGACAAGGAAACTGAGTCACTAAGAAGTATATAGAGTGGTGAAAGTCAAGTAGTTGACTTAGGCACAAGTAAATGTCCTAAATTCACCTAGTAGCTCAGACAAGACCTCAAAATACCTCTGCCTCCAAGGCCTGGCGTGTGAGGGTAAAGGTGGGAGAGGAAAGCCTGTAACACTCATCTGGAATGCCCAAAGGAGGGACCATTTATGATGCCCACGAAGCAAGGCTGGGTAAGAAGCCTTAGTCAGGGCACACTAACTTGGGGGACGTTAAACCAAGGTCAGAAGTTCTCATTGCTCTAGTCTGGCTGGGAGACATTCCAGAAACTTGGCCCATGTTTTCTGGCCCATGTCTGCTGTTGATGAATGCTGAAGAAAACTTTACAAAGGTCCAAGAGAATCCCTTGCCCAGCAGACCTCTGGGATCCTATCAGTCTAAAGTCTCTTCTATCTCATAAATGTTGGGAGAGAACCTCTTTGACATTTCCCCCATATAGTAAAGAAGACCAGTTTGTGGCAGCAGGTGTCCAATCTAAGTAAAATGCTGATACACAGATAATATATTTTCTTTTAAAAATATTTTATGAAAATAAAAAAAAAAAAATATAAATATTAAAATTATTATTTTTCTTTTATGTGTATGAGTGTTGCCTTCATGTATGTAAGTTCACCTGTGTCATGCAATGCCCATGGAGGTCAGAACAAGGTGTCAGATCCCCTGGAATTGGAGTTACAGAGGGTTGTTAGCTGCCACAGTGTTGCAGGGAACTGAACCCTGGTCCTCCGCAAGAGCAAGCAGTGTTCTTAACTGCTGAGCAATCTCTCCAGCCCCAGAAAATGCATTTTCAAAGTCTGCAAAAGTTGCTGGTCAGTGTATCTCCTTGTTTAGTCGTTACAGGGTGGGGGAAGATTGGGGAATCTGCATAAAACAAGGTGACATTCAACCAGCCTGCAAGAGGAGTGAGAAATCTAATTCAATTTATGCCACAAATATTTTTTAATTTAATATGAATTTTACAATCATCTCTTCTCTTCTAGCTCTGAGGATTCATCAGTGCCTAAAACATTGGAACTTATTTTCTAATGCAGAGGTAATATATAAATAAGTATAAATATTGGCCTATAGAATGTACCATAGTAGGGGTAGGGCAGAATCAATTTAAGGACAGAGACTGTTGATGTGTCAGTATGTGCACACATATTGCATGCATGATTTTATAAGTTAACGAAGACCTCTCTGATAAGGTCATAGTTGAACAAAGTCCCATGGGAACAAGGCATCAAGCTGTGTAGATATCTACAGAAAGAGAATTCCAGTCAACTACACAGGGTAAAAGCTCCCAGTGGCAACAACTTGACACAGAGTGTCTGGAACCACAGAGAAACCAGTTTGGTGAAAGGGCAATGCAGAGGGATTGTTGAGCTCTGGAGTAGAGACCCGGTGGCTTTGATGAAGATACAACTAGACCACCTGTGGATGTGGTTGATCAGAGTGTGGTCTCAGCTTCCTTTCATAAGAGCTCTTTGCTGGATCAGTGGTGAGGTGACTATAGGAATAGATGTGGAAACAAGAAGACTGAGACTTTCCTGCCATAAGAAGATGTAATTTATAAAGGAGCTCAGTGTCTGCCAGGTGTACAAATTAAAGATTAGACAGCTAACATTTAAAAAGGAGAAAACCTTTGTAGTGATCTTTTTGGAAAATTGTCAGTGTAAAATGCCCTGAGATTCTAAAAGAGAAAAGTTAACTAGAGGAGCCTGTATCTGCCCCTAAGTATGCTATGTTAACTACACTCTTCAAATGAATGCCAACCCTATCATTCCACTTTTCATGATTCAGACAAAATGAACTTCTAACAAGCAGATCCGATATGTGCATCTCTGGTAAAATTCCTTATTAGCTTTCCCTTATTAGCTTTCTCTTGCCTACTGTCCTGTAATCAATGTCCAACTTCCTCAGTCATCTGCTGAAGACACTGTGGTCTAATCTCTGAGCTCTAAATACAGTAATTCTTCCTGTTTGATGAAAAAAAAATACAGCTGTGTCTTAGCTCTGGGGCTTTACAGACCATGTTTCCTGTGTCCCAAACTATTCTCTTTTCCTCCTGAGACTTAAGTTTTAAAAAACACATAGCCGGGGCTGAAGAGATGATTCAGCAGTTAAGAGCACTGGCTGCTCTTGCAGAGGACATGGGTTTGATTCCCAGGACCCACATGGTGGCTAAAAACTGTCCATAACTCCAGTTCCAGGGGAATCTGACACATTTTTCTGACCTCCATGGGCAATGCACAATATGGGTACACTTATATACATGCAGGCAATACACTCATACACATAAAAGAAAAGTAAAAGGGGCTGGAGAGATGGCTCAGCAGTTAAGAACACTGTTCTTGCAGAAGACCTAGGTTTGAATCCCAGCACCCACATGGCAGCTAACAACTGTCTGTAACTCCAGTTCCAGGGGATCCGACAGCCTCTTCTGTCCTCCACAGGTATTGCATGACAAGGGTGCACTTACCTACATGCAGGCAATGCACACATACATGTAAAGTAAA